GGGGGTGAGAGGGAATAGAGACCAACCTGAAGGGTTATAACGTTTTTTTTTAAGGTGTGTGTGTGTGTGCTCGAGTGCACCCGGCAGCAGCAGTAGCAGCCCAAAGAGGTCAGAAGAAGGCATCAGATCCCTGGAAACAGAGTTACAGGTGGCTGTGAGCCGCCATGGAGACGCCGGCAACTGAACCCAGGTCCTCCGCAAGAGCAGTTAGGTGCTCTTAACCGATGAGCCATTTCCGTTCCTCTAGCTCCATAGTTCGCTCACTTTTTTTTTTTTTCTTGAGGCAGAGCCTTTCGTAGCCCAGGCTGGACTCAGTCTTTCTGTGTAGCTGAGGATGGACTTCTGATCCTCCTGCTTCCGCCTCCCAAGTGCTAGGATTACAGGTGTGTGCCACCACGTCTGAGTTTATGTGGTGCTGGGGACCAAATGCAGTGTTTGAGTGACTGTCCCCTAAGCCAAACATCTATCATCTTGGGGACCTCAGTTGTCCTCTTGCAAAATGATTACCCCATCTGGGCCTGGCAGCACTCCCCTCAGAAAGGGTGGGGAGGGTCACAAGATCCTCGCCTGAGTATCCAGGCCGTTCTTACCCCCTGCCTTATGTAATGACTTAATTGTACAAGGTCTGGAGAGGGGCTGGAGTATTCAGGCCTGGAAACAGTAGGGGAGGGGGCTCCATCGATGCAGCCACAGGGAAATCCTCATCCCCTCTGGGTAAGGCACTCCAGCTGCCCCTTGCTGGGAAGAGGAGCGCCCACCCTCTGTAAGTGACCCCTCATCTATGCTCTTTAAGGAAGCTCGTTAAAGTTCTCAGAGTGAACTTGGGGAATCTGTCATTGGGGTCTTAGAAGGGGTAGGCTTAGTCTCCCTCTGGGAAAGAATTTTAGCAGTACCCAGGGACTGTATATGCTAAACAAGTACTCCAGCAACTGAGGGACTGTGCATGCTAGACAAGTACTCTAGCAACTGAGGGACTGTGCATGTTAGACAAGTACTCCAGCAACTGAGGGACTGTGCATGCTAGACAAGTACTCCAGCAACTGAGGGACTGTGCATGCTAGACAAGTACTCTAGCAACTGAGGGACTGTGTATACTAGACAAGTACTCCAGCAACTGAGGGACTGTGCATGCTAGACAAGTACTCCAGCAACTGAGGGACTGTGTATGCTAGACAAGTACTCCAGCAACTGAGGGACTGTGCATGCTAGACAAGTACTCCAGCAACTGAGGGACTGTGCATACTAGACAAGTACTCTAGCAACTGAGGGACTGTGTATACTAGACAAGTACTCCAGCAACTGAAGGACTGTGCATGCTAGACAAGTACTCTAGCAACTGAGGGACTGTGCATGCTAGACAAGTACTCCAGCAACTGAGGGACTGTGCATGCTAGGCAAGTACTCCAGCAACTGAGGGACTGTGCATGCTAGACAAGTACTCCAGCAACTGAGGGACTGTGCATGCTAGACAAGTACTCTAGCAACTGAGGGACTGTGCATGCTAGACAAGTACTCTAGCAACTGAGGGACTGTGCATGCTAGACAAGTACTCCAGCAGCTGAGCTACACCTCCAGCCAAGTATGTTTTTCTTTCCTTTAATTCTCACAGAGATTCTGCATGGGAATTTACAAAGAGCTCCATTTCAGGGCTGAGGACACAGCCCGGACCGCCTTGTCACTGGGGACAGGACGCACACAGCTGTTGATAACATCCGTGCCCGCTGAGAAGCACCAGGACCTGGGTGTCCCTGCTCTCGGGCCTCCAGGTGAGAGGTCCCAGAACCAGGCAATTGGTGGGACTGGGCCCTGGAGGAGTCTGGGTGAGGAGGGAGGGCTGTGCAGGGACCAGACTCCCCAGGAGGCAGAGCAGGGACTGGGGGCAGTGAATGGGCTCTGGCCTCACTCTGTGCTTCTGGTCAGTGAATAAGGACACCTCCAGCAATGTAGCTGCCTGACAGAAACCTTTATGGGCATAGCTGGAAAGTCCAGATGGTGATAATGTCTCAGACTCAAGGTATAAGCGAAGTGACTGTGAATGGAGGAGAGGCGGAGGGAAGGAGGGAGGGAGGGAGGGCGAGCCCACAAACTATGAACAAGAACTAGCTAATCCCGTTACGTTCTTCTGATCAGCCTGGCTCCATTTCAGAGCTCTCATTCATCCCTACAGGAATTCAGGATGCTATTTCTACAGTTACCAGGTACCATGGTCCCACTGTTAGAACTTCCAGCCCGTGTGGTTCCAGTGGACTTCAGGGTCTGGCAGGTGCACTGGAACCTTAGGGATCCCAGACTGCTGCTTCCTTCAAAGCCCTCTCCAGAGTGTCACCCCCAAAGTCCTGGGACCCTCACTCCCATCCTAACCTGTTCAGATGTCCAAGTTTTCAATATGCTGAAGTTCCCCAAAAGCAGCGTATTAGACTTCTTAAAGACTGTGAGTAGAAGATTAGCTGATTCACACCTATAACCCAGCACTGGGGAGGCAGAGGTGGGCGGATTGTCCAGGAGTCTGCGGCCAGCTTGGGTTGTGTAGTGAGTTCCAGCCTAGACACAGTTACAGAGGGAAACGCTGTCTCAAAAAAACAAAACAAGACAAACAAAAACCTTGTTCTACTTTGCTTCCTCACTGCAGTGTAAACACTGGTCAGTAATAACTTGGGGAAGGAGAGGAGCTGCTTGGCTTTCAGTTTACAGTCACAACGGGAAGCCAAGGCGGGAACTCATCGAAGGAACTGAAGCAGGGACCACGGAATATGCTCACTTCCCCGGCTTGGGCAGCCTCCTCTCTTACACAATCCGGTCCACCTGCCCACGTCAATCATCCATCAAAACAATGCCCCCACAGGCCAATCCAGTGGAGGAAAGCCCTCAGCTGAGGCTCCCTCTTCCCAGGAGACTCTGCTTTGTGTCAAGTTGACAAGAACTAAGCAGGACCTCAGTACCATGGAAAGTAGATGACTTAAAAAGCTGAAGGGACCCCTGAAGGGACTCTAGAGGCCCAAGTTTGGCAAGCATGGCTCTGGAAGGCCTGGCCCTTCTCCCCCAGTCCCTCTGCCCTGCTAAGAACTGTTAGATTACATTCCTAAAGCTAGCCACCAGGTCTATTCCCTTGTTTGGCCTCTTCCTCCTCCCAAGACTCACTCCCAAGGTCCAACTACCAAAGTACTGAAGTCCACAATCAAAAGCCCCTTTGGCTGCCCTAATTAACATGCCCAGTTAAAATTAAACACGAGGTTTCCCATTTTACCTTGATAAACCGCCATTTGTCTATGGACCATGTCTGTCTTCTCTATCCAGAGGTGGTCCTTTGTCCCCCCCACCACCACAACACCCCCAGGACATATACCCCTCCCCTTCTCCCTTGTTTCCTTCTTCTTCTTCTCCCTTGTCCTCTGTCTCCTGTCTTTGTCTCTTATTCCTGCCCTTTGACTCTCTGGGGCAAATAGATCCCCTTTGTGCTGAGAATTTGGTCTTGGGGTGTCTTGTGCCGATACTGGTCCCTTTACCCTGCACCCCCCCCCACACACACACACAAAGAAAAGGAAACAGAAAGGAAATCACTAGGTGCTAAGACCAGGTCTTGGCCAGGGCCAGAACTAAATCCTTCTTTAGGATTCAAGAAACAAGGTGAGGAGCTGGAGAGGTGGCTCAGTGGTTAGAGCACTGGCTGTTCTTCCAGAGGACCTGAGTTTCATTCCCATCACCTACACCGCAGCTCACAATTGTCTGCAACTCCAGTCTCGGGGCATGTGACACCCTTTTCCGGCCTCTGTGGGCGTCAGGCATGCATGTTATGCATGTAGAGGAACATGAAGGACAGAGAATAACATGAATGAAGGGTCAGGAGGAAGCCCCCGCCCCACCCACATGTAAACCTGTCTGCGGGTTTTACTTTTTGTCCTGTGCTGGTCAGCTCCCAAGTGGCCCCACATGACCCTGGCACTTAGATCTTTGGTGTAGTCCTCTTCCATACGGTAGCAGAGCTAGTCCTCACAGCCAATAGGCTACCGAAGTCATGGCATACATGTCATCTGGAGGCAGTCAGCGTCGAACCAAGGCACATTCTCTCTTGCTGTCTCTGTCTTTCATCTTTTGGTCTTGGAGTCCCGACTCTTATGAGCATCCCACTCAAAAGACCCTCCTGTGGCCTCCTGCCAACAGCAACACCCGTGAGCTTAGAAGTGGACTCTTCAGGGGCCATCGAGGTTTGAATGATAGCAACCCTTCGAGCGCTTGGCTGCCACCTCCTGAGAGTCCCTGAGCAGGAACCCTGCCACTGAGGTGCTCTCAGTAACTGCGGGAGGACAGATGTTTTGGGGGGATAATTTGTTGCATAATAATAAATACTAGAAAACTTTTTTCAGTTTCAGATTCTATGTAACGTGCACACATTGGTCTTCTAAATCCATAGGTCGACTGTCTGAAGATCAGATGTACTTACAAAACATGACGTCTGTATTGAGTATGTGCAGATTTTCTCTTGTTACGGTTCAATGTGTGCAGCTGCTTACAGCACTTACACACTGTTGGGTACTTAACGCAGTTAGTGGAGTAGAGGTACTTTAGATATACGGGAGTGTGTATGTAGATTGTAAATACCATAGTGTAGTGTTCCATAAGGGACTTGAGCATTCCAGGTTTGGGATCCACAGGAGTCCTGCAATCCACCCCCTAGCGAGACTCGAGCGATGATTGACTATTGCTTTGCCACCAGGAGAAAAATACTTCAAACGACCGATCAAGTAAACCCTTCATTACAGTAAGATAACGGTCATGGGCTTAGCTGCCTTGTCACATCGCTCCTGGGGAGTGGGACCAGTGGGCTCAGCAAGGACTTCCTTAATTTTTCCTCTTAGATAAAATATTCTCCAGTAAGAACGGAGGGAATATGAGGTCATTACAAGATAATACAATGACCGCGTTGCCTAATGCACAGCAAAAGTTCTTCAAATAAGTGCCAGGTTTGCTGTTTGGGGATCCCATGCCTCCTCTTCGGACCCCAAGTCCTTCAAGGCAACCAGCAAAAGAGGCTCTTTCCTCGTGTCGCCACAGGGTGGCGCTGTGACACTAACCTCCTCTCCACTCCCGCCGGCTTCCAGCTGGCGCTGCGGCAGGAAACCGGTCCCCTCCAGACTGCCAAGGCTTGCGTGTCGGGTTACCAAGAGCGACCGGGCAGCCAGACACCATCCAAGCATTCATCCGGCAGATAATGAGGAAACAGGCCCCAGCTTTGTACCCATCTGTAAGGCCAAAGTAAGGGCTGCACAAAGTGGTCCTGGAAGCAGGAGGCTCCTGTTGGAGGCCGGGGTGGGGTGGGGTTGTAGGGTCTAAATGGATTCTCAGTGCTGAGGCTCCACACCCTGCGCTCTCAGGCTGCGACCCTTTGCAGGGTGTGTGTGTGGTGGTGGTGGTGGTGGGGGGGGGGGTGCAAAAAGGGCTTGGTTTCCGAGGTACTTAGCTATGTCCTCTGCCTCGGAAGTCGGCTTCTAAATTGTCTCAAACTTCAGTCTACATCACAGTCGCCCGGGGACTTGTTAAACAGTGGTTTGACGGTCCAGTTCAGCAGCCTGGCCGGTGGCCGGAGAATTTGCATTTAAAACATGTTTCCAGGGATGCCGAGGGGGCCGGTTCACTCCTGCAAAGGTCCCTGGGACCAGAAGAGAAGCCTCTCACTGTGACGGCTCTCTCCACTGTGATGCCCGGGCTCTCAGGCAAGCTCCTGAGCCGCCCTTGGGCCAGCGGGGATGCTAGTTAGAAGTTATCGTGGGTGGGGCAGGAGGCTGGCCTTTCCTTCTGTGTCCAGACAAAGGCGACACAAACTCTCAAAGCTCCATTGTGGGCACCAGATCTTTGGAGACATTCTACCCGAGGCCACCGGGTAAAAACAGTGTCACTTTCCCCCACTCGTAAGTGGGTGCAGCAGAGGTTCGCACGGTCCCACAGAGAGCCCAGACAACTCAGATGGACAGAAGGAAGTCAGAGGCATGAGCCAGGTCCCTCCTCACCATGCTTCAGGCACAGGGTCTCTGTTGGCCTCACTCCGACTGTAGCCTATCTGGTCACGAGCTCCAGGCTTTGCTGTTTAGCCCGAATGATTCCAGGTAGCTCAGCCCTATAATCCCAACTACTCTAAAGGCTGAGGCAGGAGGACTGCCAGTTCAAGCCTGACTTAACTAGAGAGAGTTCAAAGCCAGCCTGGGCAACTTAGACACATTGCAAAAAACGTAAGCAGCTGAAAGAGAGAACAGTGGGAGCTGTGTCCACAGTGGGAGAGTGCTCGCCTACCTGGCACAAAGCCTGGATTTGGTCCCCAGCGATGGGTTAGCTGGGTGTGGGGGCACATGCCTGAAACCCCAGCATGAGGGAGGTGGGGGCAAGAGGACCCAGAAGCTCAAGATCATCCTCAGTCACACAGTGAGTTTATGGCCAGCCCAGGACACTTAAGACCCTGTCTATTAACTAACTAACTAACTAACTAACTAACCAGTAAAGGAGGGCTGGCTATGGCTCAAAGGTGCAAGGGAATAGACAGACTCGCGAACAAGCTTCCCAGCTGGACGGAAGGTGAGTTCCACAAAAGAACAGGTTAAACAACTGCCTCTCCGAAGTGTGGGACACACCAGCCCACAGACTCTACGCTTGCACATGCCTGGATGGGAAATACAGACTCTGGGAAATTCTGTGCTAGGTTAAGGAGAGGCCTTAACAGCGTGTGCTGCCCATGGTCATTGCGTCATGTAGAAAAGATGTTTTTATTCTTCCCCAGTTATTGATGGCTGCATGGTCATTGAGTTGTGCATTTCTGCCACACGATGGAGATTCCTGGCTCCATTGGTGGTCCCTATCCCATACCACCAACTCAGTTTTGATCTGTTTTCTTCTCTCTCCCTCCCTCCCTCCCTCTCTCCTTCCCTCCCTCTCTTCCCCTCTTTCTCTGATGCTGGGACTGACTCCAGGCCCTTGCCCTTGCTAGGCAAGCACGTTACCACCGAGCTGCCTCCCAAGTCCTCTATTCCTCTAATTCTTTCTTTCATTATAAAGAAGATCAGCCTTTCTTAACTTCCACCCCAAATTCTGGAACTGAGAAATCTGTATAACCTTGATACCCAGGGATTAACAGACACCAGGAGAACACATTTTAAAACATCATTTCTTTCATGAAGATAGTAATGTGAAATGGTGCAGCCACTCTGAAAACGATTTCTGCAGTGTCTTAGAATGTGAAGCACAGACCTGATGTCTATGCCACCCATTCTAAGTGTTTACTGTATCTACCCAAGATAAATGAAAACTTATGTACCACAAATATATGTGAGTGGCAGGTTGTAATAGCCTCATTTAAATGACTAAAAGCTAGAACAATCTCGATGGCCAACAAGTGAATGAATACACACATCCAGGTATATTCATGAAATCAAACTATTGAAATGATGTGAGTGAACTACAGAACAACTCTTCCACATGGGAGACGCCAGGATAAAAGATGACCCTCTTTCTACAAAATTCTAGAAAATGGAAGTGAATCCAGAAGGTGAAGCATTCTTTGAATTGAGGAAAGACAAGTAAGGATTAGAAAGGGGTGTGTGGAGATGTCTGAGTCAGAGTGACTCCAGAGACATGGTGATTGTGGGAGATTTTAGGCATGTTGCTTTGTCAAAGATTCCAATGCCTGCGGCAACATGTCAGTTATGCACAGCCATGCTCTTCAAGGTGGTAATGTAACTCTCAACAATGGCAAAACGAACTACAAAGTAAAAGCAAAGTGGACAAAAGACACTTTGTCAAAATAGACAGCAAGCACACATCTAGTAATGCTTACTGTTAAGCACTAAGGAAGTCTAGCTGAACCCACAGTGGATCTCACGGCATGGCCACAAAACAGACACAGCAGTGATAGCTGTAAAAGCCTAACAATATCAAGTTCAAGTTCTAAAGAGGATGAGGGATAGCTAGAACCTATATTTCTTAATATAAGGAAAAGCTCGTCATTTCTTATAAAGTTAGACACACACCCAATGAAAAATAAGCAGTGCTTCTCCCTCAACTGTGAAAAACCTAAACGCCTTTAGAAAGGTGGGAGGCTAAGTGATGTGATACCTTTAACATGGAATAGCATTGGATAATGAAAAGGAGTGAACAACTGACGTGCCACGACATGAATGCAAACACAAGAGGTGACATGCCACAAGATTCCACTTGAGTGGCACTCCAGAAAAGACTACTCTGTAGTTGGGAGAAACTTTTTTTCTATCAAAGGAAGCACCCTTTATTGTGTGATATGTCCATTTGTCCAGCCCTAGACATTCTTGAAATTTGCCTATCACACCCTCCTCTTTCCCTCCAATTAGCCAACCAGAAGTACATGATGAGGTTGAACCTCAGCCTACGAGGAACAACCAAGTTTCCCATTGCCTTAAGAATAAAAGACAGAGGCCGTCTTGGCCATGTGCTTGCTATCCTGGGTTAGGTCATGACATATCCTTTTTTGGGGGGAAACTTGCCATGCCACATTACTTTTGCTTTTTTCATGTGTTTCTTTGTGATGTGCCAAGATTATTCTTTTCTAACAGAAGTGATGGAGAATATCAGGTTGGGGTACAGAAAGATGATAAAATTATTTTCCAGTGTGGTGGTTTGAATGACCCTCATAGACTCATATATTTGAATACTTGGTCCCCAGTTGGTGGAACTGTTTGGGAAGGATTCAGAGGTGTAGCCTTATTGGAGGAGGTGTGTCCCTGGGGGTTTCAAAAGACTCTTGCTATTCTATTAGCTCAATCTGCCTCCTGGCTGTAGATCAAGATGTGAGCACTCAGCTACTGCTTCAGCACCATACCTGCCTGATGCCATGTTCCCTGCCACAATGGTCATGGACTCTAACCTTCTGAAACTGTAATCCCCAAATCAAACATTTTCTTTTATAAGTTGCATTAATCATGATATCTCGTCATAGTAATACAAAAACAAGTAAGATGGCTGGTTATTGGCTATTTCTTCCTCCTGATTTGGTGATGGTTATGTAGTCTACCTACATGTTTGTCAAAACTGTAGAACCAGACACCAAAGAGACTGAATGTCACTCTGTGTAAATAAAGACATGTAGAATCAATTTGCACTGTTATAGAAACATCAGACAGTGTAGGACCGTGAAGAAGGGTGTGAAGGCTTTTACACAGGCACAGCTTGGTGCTTTGAACTGCTCCTCAGAGTCCCCGGCCAACAGTTTCAGACTGTATTTTCAGGCTATTTCCTAACATGATTTATGAATGTATACAAGTATTTTATTTTTCCAGAAACAAGAGTATATCATACCTATGGATCTGCAGCTGCCCCTTTTCTACAAACATCAAGAGCCTGTAAAACTAAGATTTAATTGGCAATGTACAGTGCAATGCAATTTAAAACCAGCTCTCTACCTTCAAGGTGACACAATGATTGTGCTGTCCCTGAGACCTGGGTCTTAGAAGGAATTAGACCAATGGCAGCCCTGAAGGAGAAAGCTTCACCAGATAGTTGTCTCTCTGTCTTATTAGGTTCTTCATAGGGATCATGGTCAGTCTGCTAGAGGGAGTGAGGGACAAACCCTTCCCAGACTTGAGGGCCTCAGAGGCTCATTGGGAAGCCTGAAAAGCCTTCAGTGGGGCTGTAGCCAGGATGCAGAGCCAATGCCAGTTTTCCAAGGTGAGAAATAAAGCAATCAGCATATTTTATTACTTGCAGCCTTAGGAATTGAACCAAGGGCCTCACGCATGCAAGGCAAGTACTCTGCCGACTAAACTGTCCATGTCCTTTTTCTCATCTCCATTTAGAGATAGAGTCTCACTGGATTGCCTAGACAGACCTTCAATCCTCCTGCCTCAGCTTCTCAAGTCAGTGTCATGTGCCTTGCTGGCAGAATGTTGAAGCCTGTACTTTGGGATCCTAGGACGTGCTTACGTTGCTGTGACGTGTAACATGCTCCAGAGAGTGGGTGGTGTGGCAATGTGGTAAGAGATGGGGCTCTGTAAGAGGACAGCGTGGGTTGGAACCTGGCTTTTGATTTTACGAGGTAGGTGACCTTGGGCAGGTCCATGAGCTCTTGGGTTGCACAGGCTTGTTGCCGAGCAGTAACTGTGTATGCACATGTGTGGCAGTTGACTAGCAGACAGGAAGCTAGCCTTGGTGTGCTGTCCTGTTACTTCCTCTCCAGGCTGCTGACCCCAGTCTGAGAGATAAGACCTCTCCAGGCCGTTGACCTCAATCCCACTCTTGGGGCTCCAAGGAGAGGCTACCAAACAGGTGCTACCAACAACTGGCCCTTCCCCCAGAGGCAGCTGGAGCCTGCTTCCACTTTTTCCATGTCAGCACCGACAAACAGCTGAAGCCTTCTGTGGGATCTTGGCGAGCAGGGCCCGTATTGATTTTGTTCTCAAAGCCTTTCAAGTGGCGGCTGCCCCTGTGATCTGGCTGCGGGGGCCCAGTTACAAAGCCAGCGCAGCCCCTCAACGGTTCTTGGAGGGTTTTGTGTTTCCAGAAAGGAACTCAGAGGACCCAAGCCTCAGCCAGTGGGTGTTCACCAGGGGCCCAGAGCTCAGAACCTTCTTGAGGGCATTTCCCAGCTGTGCAGGTACTAGCTGAGCACTGTTAAAAGGCTCGTGCCTCAGCACCTCACTTTCAGCGTCATAGAGCAAATATTGGTCCTGCCTGCTATGTGCACTGAAGCCACACAAAGCACTCCCAAGACCTTTACCACCCGCCAGGCTTGCTGGCCAGGTCATGGGGAAAGGAAGGCAACCTCAGCAAGATCGCAGCTCATTCCTGCCAATATTTAAACCAGGGCAGTTCTTCCGGGCCAGCACATCCTTTGGCTTTCAGTGCTCCTGCAATATTGGCTGGATGGTGGGAGGCTCAGCGAGGGGACCCCAGGGAGGACTCAGATTACAAGCAGGAAGTGAGACCCTAAAGTGGAGTCCCTCCCTTTTCTCCCCTTTATACAGAAGCCATTCACTGTCCACGTTTTTCTCTTGAGGCAAGAAGGGTCCCTTTGTGGCTGCAGTGGGCTAGCTGAGGGGGAGAGAGTGGGCTGTCAAGCTGGGCATGGCAGGGGAGCCTGCAATCTTAGTTCTTGGAAAGCGGAAGCAGGAGGATCAGAAGTTCAAGGGCAGTTTCGGATGTAGAACGAGTTTCAGGTCAGTCTGAGCTACGTGAGCCCATGCCATAAAAGGGGTGAGGGGCTGTTGACATGAAGGAATATGTTTTGTGTCAGTTTGGAATGGAGATGGCCAGTGAAAAGGCTTGGCAGGGGGAACCCACTCTTGAAGGAGGGACTCCTGAAAGCTGTCCTCTGACTTCCAGTTTGGGGCTGTGGCTCTAGTCTGCCCTCATACACACACACACACACACACACACACACACACACACACACACACACACACCCTACAGTAATAATAAAGGAAACAAAAATTCAATTAAAAATTTATAATGGAGAAAAAGTCAAGAGCAAGTGGATTTTTGTGTTTGTTTTTTTAATTTATTTGGCTGGGCTTAATTTTAAACCTCTTTTTAAAAAATGACCGTTTGAGACAGGGTCTTACATATAACCCTGGCTAGCCTCAAACTCAAGGTGATCCTTCTGCCTCAGTCTGGGACTACAGGCTAAACCTGTGTATATACATACATACATATATACATACGTGTGTGTGCCATACAAATACACGTATGTAGGCTTATTTACACGTGTATTGGCAAGTATGTGTGTACATGAGTGTGTACATGTGAAGGCTGTGTGGAGGCCAGAGATTAACATTGGATGTTTCCCTCCCTCGCTGTCCTCTTTACATACTGAGGCGGAGTCTAGCACTCATTCAGCGCTCACTGATTCAGCTCGGGTCTTCTCTGGGATCCCCATCTCCCCCTTCTGAGTGGAGATGGCAAGTGGGTCACCACGCCTGCCTGGCGTTTGTGCAGGTGCCAGGGATCTGAACTTAGGTCCTCATGCTTGTGTGGCGAGGGCTTTACCCACTGAACCATCTCCCTCACCCTCAACCACTTTTTTTAAGCAGCTACAGGCTGGCAAGATGACTCTGTGGGCCAAGGTACTCGCCATCATGCGTAACCACCTGAGTTCAGTGCCCAGAACCCACACGGTGGAAGGAGACAGCCGATGCCTACAAGCTGTCTTCTAAACTCCACACCTGTGCCATGGCACATGCAGTACCCACACCCAATAAATGTAAAAAATTAAAAGACAACACTTCTTTTCCTTGGTTTGCTATTTTCAGAGAAGTTCCTGAATCTGCACCCAGTGCTAAGGGTTCCGTGCTAACCAGCTGACGCTGGCCACCGTGCCATACTCTTGCTGGCGATGACCACAGCCTTGAGTCATTCTCCTTTCTCAGTCTTGGCCCAAGAATGTCACCATTCCTAGTCACTTGACACCACAACGGGTAATCGGTGTTGGTTAGAAACCTCCTGAGATGGGGCAGGCAGCTCCACTGCCTTTTTCCTCCTGCAACTTAACCACAATAAAAAGAACTAACAGTGGGGAGAATGAGCAAAACGTTTTAAAGGATTTGATATCCTGAGAGAGCTCCACTTTGAAACAGCGAGATGGCGCTCGATGCCGACCAGAGCAGACGAAGCCCGTCGGATCCTGACAACACACGGTGCTGAGGACCCGCAGCAGCAGGGATGCTCTCACATCCTGGGGACTTGGAATGACGCAGCCACGTTGGAAGACTGCTTGGCAGCCTCTTAAGAAGCCAAATGTGCTGCTATCATGCGAGCCATCTTGCTCCATGGTATTGACCGAAGAGCTGAAGAGCACACACATACCCACATGCTGACGTTTACCAACGCTTTACTCATAACTACAGAAATGTGGAAGCAACCTCAGTGTTTCTCCAGTGATCCGACAAGACCACGGGACATTTCAGCACCAAAGGACACCAGCAAGACAAGCAAGACAGAGGAAACATGTCGACATCTGTTACCAAGTGGAAAGGCCGCGTGACTCCAACGGACAGTCCAGAAACAGGCAACACTCGGAAGGAGTGGGAGGAAGATGAGTGGTTGGCAGAGGTCAGAGGTCAGAGGTCGGAGGGATGAGTAGGCAGAGCACGGAGGATCTGAGGCCATGAAAATGTTCCTCAGGATCTACAGTGCTGGGTGTGTAGCATCACTGGAAACTGGCTCTGGGTCAGCCTCAGTGGGAGCTCACTGGTCACAGCCACTGTGCCGCCTGGGTACTCTGGGTGCCCATGTGGAACAGGGGCCCCTGAGAATGCTATACTTTCCATTCCATCTTGCTCTGAACCTAATGCTGCTCTAAAAATCTGTTCAAATGTGCATGGTGCGGTGGTGTGGGAGAATTCGAGGCCAGACTCTGCCATGTAGCAAGTTTGAGATCACCCGTTACTATGTGAGACCCTGTCTCGAAAGGAAAAAACCAAAGCCGGGTGTGGTGGCTCACACCGGTGATCCCAGAAGTTGGAAGACAAAGGCAAGACAATTGCCAAAGTTGGAGGAAGGCATCCTGAGCTACATAGTGAGTTCCAGGCCAGTCGGAGCTAAAGAGATGTACCCTGCGTCAAAAAACAGAAAAGCGAAACATCTCCCAAACTAAGTAAATAAATATAAAGTCATGATACTCCCCAAGGTGGTCTTTGTTTGATGTGTTGGTTGGTTGGTTTTGTTGTGCTTTGTTTTGTTTTGAGGTGCTGGGTTGAACTCAGCGCCTCACATGTGTTGAGCACGTATATTCTACCTCTAAGTAAAACCTCCTTCTTCTTTCTTTTTCCTTTTGACATGGTCTTGCTTTGTGGTCCAGGGAGGTCCGGGCAGGGCATGCGTTTAGAGAAATACAGGGCATAATGTTTTCATTACAGTGGGAATCTTGCTCACTTTCCTCATCATTGGGTCACAAATAATCTTCTAAAATCGTGCCGTGACTTATTGACTTCTTTATTTCTGGACCCATAGGTGACTTCCTGTGTATGCTGCTGTGATAATCAATTCTGCATTCATCGATAACACTTACCGGGGCATTGATTACATGCCAGGCCCTGGTATGCACATCGCAAACATTAGTAAATGGTTAACCTGGATAACAATGAAACTCTCTTACAGCCTGTGTGAGGAGATGAGGAAACCTGGACCCAGAGAGGGACCAAGCCTTGAACAGTCAGGGGTGCGCGGCTTTACCTGTGTTGCTGGCCATTTCTAGAGTGAGTTTCTGGACGACAAACAGGGGCATTTCCCTGGTGGTTCCTTGATGAGCGCCCTGGCCACTCTCTCGAGGGCCCCAACCTTCATTCCCTCCCATCCAGTTGAGACGATTCACTGTAGCGCAGGCCATGCGGAATGTTCTATTTGTTCCTGCTTCTAACCTCGTAAGGGGAAATTGTGGCTTCACGGATGTTTGAATATTAATTTCTTTGATTTCTGATGCATCTCAGCATTTTCTTGGGTTTATTAGTGTTTCGTACTTTCTTGGTAGATTATCTAATGTGTATTATCTCTGTTTATTTTCCATTAAAAACTCAGTTTCTTTTATAAAGCTGAATGACGCATTAAGTGAAGCAAACTTCTTCCCATTGTATGCATTGCAACTGTTATCAGCTTGTAAAGTTTCATTTTAAGACATTATTTCACGTGCATCTCTTTCTGTATTACAAGAGAGAATCACACACACACACACACACACACACACACTGTGCTTTCTTTGTTACGCCCTTGTCTTTTCCCAGCCCCATCTCCATCCCCAGCCCCTTTGGATTCATACACTCTCTGAACGCCTCACTGAACCAACAGATCTCTTCCACAAGTTTATTTTGCTACCCTGTGGTGACGGTGAGCTGAGACTCCCTTTTTTTTATTTTTTTATTTTTTTTATTTTAGTTATCTTCAGCTTTATTTTGATTAATCATCTATCAAGAGTGCACGCCAAAAGTGTAGAAAAAAAAATTAAGGAGCCTATCAAAAAAGTCCCCTGATGAGTGGGAGGGAGGACGAGACGTTAGGAGCCCTTCTTAGTAAAGGAGATGTTCTCCAGGTTATGGATGCCATTTTTGTCAATGACCCGAACGCTGAAGGTAGGCAGATTCAAGATGAAGCGCTTCTGGAGCTCATCCAGACATTTCCTAAGAAGCTCCACTGCCCTCTCACGTGAGATAGTTGGTGTGTAGTATCGGTCAAGGATACTGAGAGTCAGGAAGGCACCGTAGCCATGAGCCAGGCATTGTGAGTTAGGAGCTGCCTGTGCTCTTGGGAGGCTTTAAGAGTCTGCAGAGCAAAGGAGACCGGGCCTGCACTAAGCCCGTGATGAGGTGAGAGTGCTTGTCCTGGGGACCAACCCCCCACAGATGGGATGGAAAAAGATGGTGGTACACAGTTGTAATCCCAGCACATAGGATCAGGAGTTCAAGGTCTCCTTTGGCTCTTTGGCCACACGGTGAGTTGGAGGCTAGTTTGGGTTACAGGAGAGATGCTCTTGCTAAAAATGGGGGTAATCCTTGTCAACCTGCAATCAGCTATTGAGCCCCAGCATGCTCAGTGGCTACTGAGAGCCAGAACTGGGATACAAAATGAGGAAGTAGCCATCACTGTCCATGCCATCCCCCCACCCACCCCACCCCCCACCCCCACACACACACCCCGCTGTCTCAACGGTGACAAAGCTGATTCTATGGGAATTTGAAGTCTGAGGCAGGTGTATCCTTTGGCCACCTACTGCTTACAGTGCGGCTGAGAGACAGGGTCCAGCCTCGGCACCTGGCTTTGCCTCCCACTCATGTTGGGTAAGATGCCCCAAGCCCAGAAAGAGGTTCAGAGGCCAAAAGGTCAACAAATGTCCCAAAGAGCAGAAGGCAGCCAGTCTCTGAGCCCAGGTGGAAAGTGTTTCAGTGGCAGCTGGTGGGGGGCATCCCAGGACAGCAGGATCTCCAGGGTGGAGCATTAACCCAGTTACCCTCTACTAGGGACAGCGCTGGCAATGTCTAAGGACATTAGGGGATGTCACAACCTGGGGGAGGGGAGCAACTGACATCTAGTGGGTAGAGGCCAAGGATGTTGCAAACGTCCTGCAATTCAGAGGGCAGCCCATGCCATAAGCAAGACCCATGACAACTGAAACGTCAGTCGTACCCAAGTGGAGAACCCTTGCTTTCTACAGAGGTCCCAAATGTACCTGCTTCCGCAGGACAACAGCCCAGCGTAGACACTGGGCTGGAATGAGGAAGAGGCTCCATCCACAGCAGACTAGCACAAGTGACTGTGTTGTGGAAAGAGCCAGGGAAAATCCTGCCCTAAGCAGGGGATTTTCTGGGCAGGTCAGGATAACAGGCTCAGGCCTAAGGGCTGCAGAGGGACTCGTTCACCCGTGACTGCCATCCAGCAGGCTGGCACAGGTCTGTCTTTGGAAGGGACAGGATCCCCGAACAAGGGGTTAACTGGGACCAGAGGGGATTCTGTGATGTCGGCTCTGGGGAGGCCCCAGGTAGCACGGACTGTCTCTATTCTGACCTTAAAACCAACACGATTCACCTTGGCCTCTCTCTCTAGACTGTGACTTTCTTGAACACACAGCTGGGGGTGTGGCGAGGGGGAGCGAATGGGAATAGAGGTCTGCAGGGAGCATGAGTTTGTATAATTGGGAAACAAGACAAATGTCGATTTGTTTTCAGAACACAAGAGACAGAAACGAAAGTTTATCATGCTCTTCTTAGTTGGTGAGATAATGTTTTTTGTAAACTCAATTTCTCCAAGTCTGATTTCTCATAGGCCTCCAAACAGTGCTAATTTTCACAACATATCTTATGTTGACAGAATGCTTTTTCAAAACATTTTTGGGGGACTTAGCAAATCATAGCATCTCAGCAGCCACGGGTAGACGACATTAGAACTATCATTTGAAAGGCAGGGAAATTGAGGCACTGGAAGCTCACCCAGAGTTGGACCCCCTGCCTTCTCTTCTAGGACACACTGGTCTTGAGGACTTCTGAAAGTCCCCAGGCTCAGTGGCAGGTTGTGTTCCTCTCAGATGTTTTACTTTGCAGGGAGTGAGTCCCACCCCTCCTGAGCCTTCTCTCAGAATGGCACAGTTTCTCCTGTGGGGGAAAGGCAACCTCTCAGCCTCCATCTACTTGTTATTTCTCTCACACAGCCAGAAGCTTGTAGAGGCCACCACTGTTTGTGAAATGCCAGGTTAGACAAGGGAATTGGCCCTAGACTCAAACCCCCGAGCCATGGCCCTGATGGGTGAGGGGTGGTTCCCAGAAACTGGCTTCACAGGAATCCTTTCTTTTAATAAGTTGGTGCCAGTGCTGTTACGGACATTTGCTTGGTTTTTCTTCCTTTGATATATTTCCTCTAGTCCTAAGATTATTGCTGAACTGGTGTATAATTATTGTTTGGAGTTGCTATGCTAGCAGTCTACTCAGCACTGTAGAAGAAGTACATATCTTAGCCCTGGGAACTATTCTCAGGAGGTAGAGATGGGAGAATGGCAAGTCTGAGGCTAGCCTGGGCTACGTAACAAGCCCTGGCCTATGTGACTGTGGTTCAATATTGTAGATGCCACTATAAAGCAATAAGCCACAGCAAAACAGACACTCTCCAGCAGTGGCTGTCCATTTCTCCACACCCCTGCTGGCACCAGAGTTATTCTACTGCTTTGGAATTTTAAAGTGCTATAATGGTGCTGAGCACCTTACGTTCCACAAAGCTATGTTCCCATTTTCATAACTCACATTTCTGAGAGGTGACACTTGACTCTGTAAGAGTAACTTTAGTTATGCTGAGGTACAACTGACATATGATAAATTACACACAGGTGGTGCGCGTTTTGACATAGGTACACACCGACAAGACATCACCACTGTGAAGTCAATGTTTCGATTCCCCATTTCGCTTTCCCCTCCTGCCCTCTCTTGCCTTCCTCCCCTCACCTCCCCTGCAATGCTGTCTGCTCACTAGACAAGGTGTGGTCCCTGGTCCCCAGCACCAGGGGTGAACTGGTCGTGGGAGGCAAAATTTAAGGTTGCTTTAAAAAAAAATGTAGTGGGGAGCTGGAGAGATGGCTCAGGGGTACGAGAACTGGCTGTTCTTCCAGAGGACCTCTGTTCAATTCTCAGCAGCCATGTGGTGGCTCACAACATCAGTAATTCCAGTTCCAGGTCCCAACGCCCTCTTCTGGCCTTTGAGAGCACTGCATCACATGCTGCATACATACATACAAACATACATACATACAAACATACATACATAATACATACAAACATACATACATACAAAAATTATTATTTTAGGTAAGGTCCCACTGTGTAGTTCAGGCTCCCTTGAGTTCTCAATCCTCCTGTCTCAGCTTCCTGACTGTTGGGATTACAGGCATTCACCAACACACCTGGCAAAGTCTAAGTCTTTCCAAGGCTTTCTGGTGATTCTGGAGTACTTGAAGTTTCAAAACCATCAGCTTCCACACTGCCCCATGATGGTACAAAACATACAACTCTCATCTCAAAGTGGATAAGAGATCATTTATTCTGGAGCCTAAAAAGAGTGACAATGGCTTGGGAACATGGATTTAGGTTACCCCAAATAGTGTGTTCCTGCTGAGGATGTCTTTCTGTACGCTGTGAATATATGTTGTTC